AAAAAATAATAATTGCACTGCACACCCAAAATGGAACTCCAAGGTATGCACTGATGCCAGGAGGAGTCGAATAGGTTTATAATCCATGTGGTCAAACCCTAGGTGTGATATCAGTGGGATCAGCTCAGTCTGTAGGAAACAAACTCTTCATCAAGGAGCAGCATCCATTGTATATGTTTTCATCAGCAATTGAAATATAATTTTAATTCAAAGCAACACGCAAATAAGAATTAGAACAGGTTTATTTTTCTGTACAAAAAAATGATTAAAAAAAGTTACAAAGAACTGGCCAACCAGTGATCGCCCATATTATTGTGCTGATTTGTGTGAGGGTGCCTTCTATTACAAAATTTATACATCATATTAAAAATAAAAATTTTTTTTACAGGTGCTAAAATGCTGTATATAAATAGATGTATTGCATAGTACAAAATAATAATAAAAAAAACACAAACAAAAAACACACTGAACCGCTCCCAATGTGCTTATTTCCGTGCATATTTAACACGAGGCAGTTCTGGTGAGGGGCCTGTGGAGAAAGATTTCAGCAATTAGGCACGTTTAAAATCGCACAAATGAGCTCTTATTAAGTGAAACACATCAGGGGGAGGAGCTCATATATTGTCCTGTGTAGCACCAGATCTAGCAATTGAAATATGCAACAGCTAAAGGTTCAGTGCAGCTCTCCTTTTGTTTAGATACTTTTTAATTCACAAAATGCATTGCTGGAAGTAACCTTCTCTCGTCCTCCCTGACAAATAAACCTACATGGCATAAGCCAGGTTAAAACACTACAATACAGGCAGTCCCCAGGTTACCAACAAGATAGGGAATGTAGGTTCGTTCTTAAGTTGAATTTGTATGCAAGTTGGAACAGATCCATTTTTAAGTGCAACTCCAGCCCAACATTTTTTAGTTTTGGACAATTTTGTGTAATAGGAACCAGACCCAAAAGGCAGGCACTCCTCATCGGCACAAGCACGGTAGCATTACAACTACTGAAATGCTGCGCGGTACACTTTGGCTGCAGCCTGGGACCCCCTGCTTTACAGTAATAGCCTCCATGTGTAAGTAGGGGCCGTATGTAAGTCGGGGACTGCCTGTACTAGCAAAGCTATCCTATATTAATATATTCATCCTGCTAAAGAAAACCGTGATGACAGAAGAATATGTAGGTTGCCACAGCTGATTTTTTTGAACATGCAGGTCGCCTGGTTTTTATGCTGAGCATCTAACTTCATTGCTGTCAAAACACTGACCTGAAAATGTATGCAGATAAGAACTTTTGACTTTTCTGATTTGCATTCATGTGCTGGATTAGTGATTCAATAGGGAATGAACACAAAGACAGCAAGGCATATGGCATATACTGCAGGAGGACAGCAGTGGCAGCCCTGATGATTCTCTCATGACTATTTAAAGTAACTGAAACTATAATAAAAGATAAAGTTGAAAGGACACGTTTTTTTTATCCGATTTCAAGGTGGCCAAAAAACAAAAACCACCAGAGACCCCTTGGTCGATAAATTTAAAGAGTTCTTGATCAATTTACACTAGGCTGCATCAACTGGCCATGACAGAAATTTGTAATTCGCTTGGAAAACTGATACATTTATAAGTGAGCTATTGCATTTTTAAATCAATCACAAACCACAGAACAACACAGTGTTGTTTGATATTTTAGTCAATTACAAATCACTTGCTGGAAAGCATTTTTGATTTGATTAATAAACAAAAAAAAGCTACCAAAATGGCCATACCTGCAGGAGCCTGACTGGGATCATTGCGGCTACGGTCCAGATCCACTCCAACTGGCAGCCTCCTACAGGCATGGCATATATCCACGTCATGTGGATTATCTCAATTTATAAAGATAACACACCAGGATAATAGGATTTCTTTTTACTTGCCTTAAAATACTTTTCTTGTGGTCGATTGAAGGACACAGGAATTCTTAGAATGTCAGGTTATACTGCCGTCTACAGGAGAATAGGACACTGGCAACAAAAAAGTAATTAGCCACCACAGGATAACCCTGCCCATACCTATCGTACAAAAATAAGTACAAAAATCCTATTTTCTTTATAGTCCATATTCAGGGACACAGGAATTCTTAGAATTCCTAGACTGTTGGGACATCCAAAAGACAGTCCAGCAGAGGGGTGGGTAACATAGCAAGAAAGGCTAACAAGCCCAAGAAAAGGACAGCCGAAAACTAGGGACTGCCTACAGCTCAAGGAGCTGCTTCAAGGACCGAACGCCTAAAGCTAGCATAAGATGAGGCCTGAAAATCAACCTGGTAAAACATAAGATAGAAAAATAGAAGACCAGGTGGTAGCCTCCCAAACTGGGAAAGATTGCAGGATGCCGAAATGAGCAAGAAGCACTCACAGATCTAGAAGAGTGAGCCTTTATAGGAGCGGGTGAAACAAGACCATAAGTTTGGATGATGGTCTGCCTGAGTCACCTAGAGATGAACAGAATAGTCGGCATACCTTTACAGGTCCATCCAGAATACAAATTAGATCAGTCTTTCTGAAAAAGCAAAGGCTGAGGGACCCCTACAAAAAGGAATTTGGGGGCTTATCTGCATGCATGGATTTGGCAGACTGAGTGCAAGACCTAGTCGGTGGGTTGGAGGGTCTTAATGAAGAAGTGGAGAAACAATACATTTTCCTGGAGTCTTTATTGCTTGTTTGTGTCTAGGTGCGAAGAAAAAAAAAAAAAATTCTCACCAGACCACCTGAGCAGGCTTGGTCTTAGACCAGTGTCTCAAGCATCTTTCCCCTACCCCGCGGTATAAAGATCCTGGTGTCAGGATCTTTACATCGTGCATAGACTGTGTATAGACATGAGGACGCCAGGAGCATTCCATCTGTGCAGCAAAAGAGTAGACCTGCTTCAGTCATCACAGAAGGATGGAGCTGGCTAGGATGATCTAGCGAGTGGAACTTTTTTTTAGCGCCTAGACAAAGACTTAAACATTGCAGTGCGGTGGTAGCCCCCCCCCCTGCAAGCGTAATTTTTTTTTAACTGGAGTTGTTAAACACAGAGAGAGAGAGAGGAGGGGGGAGAGAGAGAGAGAGAGAGAGGCTAGGAAAATAGGCGCTCTTGCCATAAGTAACATCTTAAATAAATAGTATCTCGAAACTATCTAAAAAGAGACATTGCCCCTCGAAGTGGCAATAAAAATCTACAGCAGCTTAATAGCCATAGGAGACTCTATATAATTTGTTGTGCGTGGTTTTTTGTAGGTGGCGCTTAGTAGAGTTTGCTATAAGCATGAAATGGTAAAACCTGAGCTTTTCAGCCAACTCAAGAAGCCATCCAGATTTAAAATTATCCAGCATGAATCTAACAGCACCATTGGCTGACTGGCGAAACGATACAGGATTTCATATATGCGGCATGAATCTACCAGCACCTGCTGATAGTAGAAATCTAGCAAAACTAGAAGTATGATGGTTGTGCATGGGGCTATCCTGTGCCTACTGCTGACTTTTTTGTTGTCCGTGTCATTTCTCCTGTAGGCGGCAGTATAACCAGACAGTCTAAGAATTCTTGTCCATCAATGGATGATAAAGAAAACAATTTTCAGCTGAGAACAATGAGCCCTAAAAATTTGAGTCACGTGGCTGAAAATAAAGATCCTTAAAGTTTTCTGAACTGAGCACGATGAGCGACAAAAGAAAAAAAAGAAAAAAAAAAGTTTAAAAACGGACTTTTCCCAAAGATGAAATTGCTGTTGATGGCAAAACACACGAAACCTCTGTACTTGTTTATTAAGTCGTTAAATGATTGAAATGGACCTTCAATTTTACAAGCAAGATTTCCTAAATCTAAGTAATGGCTACATTTGTGTTTCCTTCCTCCCCCCCTCCCCTTATTGTCATCTGGTGATCCATCTAGTAACACACTTCCTGTCTTAGGATGGCTCCAACTCTATGGAGGAGCAATGAAGACACCCTTGGACAGCAGCATTGTCATCCTGTGGAGAGGGTGGTGTTAGATGCACTTGCTATAAGAGAGCCAATGGACCCTGCCCCATTATATGAGAAGATGCACTACACCGTTAGACCTCAAAAATCATCTGGAAATACTAGCCTAAGGCAACATTTATTCATCTATTAGTATCTTACCATTTTGAAGTCCACCTAATCTCCGCTGGACCATCTCTAGATGATGGATATACTCTGTGATCGAATGCTCTTGATCTCGAGAGGTGTATGGAGAGGTGTATGGAGAGGTTTCTGGAGTTAGGGCAGGCGAGTGTCCAATTCTGACAATTTAAGAAAAATAAAATTCAGCGAAATTTCATACAGTCTCATGGTAATCACACAATTCGAAAGGTGTGTACTAACCGTCTTGAAGTCCAAGGCAATGGCCTTGGTGATGGAGTACCAATAAAAGAAGAACTATGGTTGTGACCATATGCCACATCCCGGGTTGGAGGAGAATTTAATGAAGTACCACTCAGGTGTTGTAAAACATCTGTTCTGTTAGTTTGCACTGAAACCAAACAGAAGAAAAAGTCAAATAACCACATTAGTCTGAAGAATGTTGTCAAAATCAGATATGGTAATGCAGTACAATAACAAGCTTATTCAGTAAAGCAAACACTAAAAGTACAGACACTCCTACACTGCCTTTTCCCCACAGCTGCTCTATTTTGTAACCTGAGCATCAGTGATGGCGGGGCAACAGGCCCTGTTCTGCTTGCAACACCACCTTCACTGGCCAGCAGTGGGAGGCCTTGTTACTACACAGTGACTTGGTGCTGCCTATTTCTCCTTCTCTGCCTGATAGGATGCCACAGCACTGCCAACCAATTTCAACTTCAAAATGCTCAGGGCTTCTGACAACATGAGCTTCCTGGCTCCTGTACCTAGTGCTTTGCCTTGGACTACTGCTCTTTGTTTGTCCCTTGCCTGGATAATGAAAAAGCTACTGATGAGCACCTGTTCTGACCCTTGCCTGAAGGTGACCCGCCCTGCTTCCTGATAGGTCGGGAAGCTGACTGCATGCCCCCTCATCACCAAGTGACGAGAGAGCATGGAGTCGGCTTCCTGGCCAATCGGGAAGCCGGGGGGGAGTCATTACCGGCCCCCCGATTGGCCAGGAAGCCAGCAAAACATCCAAACAATGAAGAGAAATGTCCTTAGGATGAACAGGAACCAGACAAGGAAGGTCAAACAATATTTTTTCATTTAAATGAAAGGAGAAACCACCTTGGGTAAAAAGGAAACCTTTTGTCTTAAAACAACTTTGTCCTTATGAATAACCAAATAGGGTTCTCTAAGGCAGACAACCCGAAAACCGCTCTAGCCGAAGTAATCGCCACAAGAAATGCAACTTTTTTTTTATAACAAGGACAAAGAAATATCTGGGATAGGTTCAAAGGTAGGTTTTTGTAGAACAGATAAAACCCACAAAAGGAAGAGGAGACCTAGCAGGAGGTGACACGCATGCGTGTCCCCATTCACACATAGGCGTTTTACATGCATACAGATGCGTAAAACATAAAAAGCCATGTAATCCTATGGGGATCGCACACACCTGCCAGTTCATACGTGCGTGCAAAAACACAGAAAAGTACATGCGATTTGGCAGATTTCAGCACGTTTTGTCCTCAACATACTGTGGGATAGCTGCAGACACGCGTTGTGCGCATCTATTAAAAACTCTGTTTAAACGTGTGCACAAACACATGCGTTTTTTCCTACATCCTTAAAATACACAAATCAAGAGTTACAAAGTATACTTCAGAATAAAACGACATGCACAATTTTGCGCAATTGCACTGGAACGCATGGCATTGCAGTACCACATGTTCCGATGCAGGCGATCGCACTGTGGACAGGAGGCACAGGCTACTACAAGTGAACTGAGGGGCTAAACGCCCAGATCGCTTGTATGGAACAAGCACTGCCTACTGAAAACAGATACTAAGAATATGGCCAGGACATTTACGCACGTCAGGCTGTCCTGGCGTCGTTGAAGTGGTAGGCTTTTATTTTTTTGTTTGCTTAAAGCCCATTTCACCGACAGACAGAAGCATAACTGTTATTATACAGGATTTATATAGCGCCAACAGTTTGCGCAGCGCTTTACAATATAAGGAAGACATTACAATCACAATACAATTCAAGACAAGATGGTAAGGAGGCTGTGAGGGTTTACAATCTAAAGGGGAGGGAGAAGTGATACATGAGGAGGTAGCGGTGTGGGGCTGAATTGTTTGAGAACGTGATGGTTGAGTGGTTAGGTTGAGGTGGGATAGGCTTCCCTGAAGAGATGTCTTAAAGGGATTGCCAAAAGGCAGTCAGAGATAGACGGACAGGTTGAGGTAAAGAGCTCCAGGTGATGGGAGAGACTCTAGAGAAGTCCTGGAGGCGAGAATGGTAGGAGATGATGAGGGAGCTGGAAAGCAGGTGGTCTTTGGAAGAGCGGGGGGATGGTTAGGGTGATACTTTGAGTCCAGGTTTGAGATATAGCCGGGGGCCGAGTTTTGGATGGCTTTGTAGGTGGTTAAGATTTTGAATTTTATTCTTTGGGCGACGAAGCCAGTGCAGGGATTGGCAGAGGGGGGTTGCAGACACTGAGCGGTTGGTTAGGTGAATGAGTCTAGCAGCTGCATTCATGATAGACTGAAGGAGGGATAGTCTGTGCAGAGGTAGGTCAATGAGGAGGGAGTTGTAATAATCAAGATGAGAGATCACAAGTGAGTGGATGAGTAATTCTGTGGTTTCATTGGTGAGGAAGGGGTGTATTTTGGAGATGTTATGAAGGTGAAGGCGGCAGGATTTGGATAGTGATTGGATGTGGGGGAGAAAGGTGAGGTCCGAGTCAAGGATGACACCTAGGACCTTGGCATGGGGGGCGCGGTTGGATAGTTGGGTTAACAATCTCAAGGGAAAGGTTGGGGGAAGGTGCATGAGCAGGAGGAAATATCATGAGCTCAGTTTTTGAAAGGTTGAGTTTGAAGAAGTGACATGCAGACTAATATGTCAGTTAGTAGACAGTGACACGCATGGACACTGAGGGGGTGAGTTGTGAAGTAGAAAGAGAGATTTGAGTGTCATCGGCATAGAGATGGTATTGGAAGCCATGTGAGGTTATTAGCTGACAGAGCCTTGGGGGACCCCTACAGAAAGACGAAGAGGAGGGGAGGAGTTAGAGTTGTATGTGACAATAAAGGAGCGCTTAGATCGGTAGGAGAACCATGAGAGAGCAGAGTCTTGTAGGCCAAACGAGTGGAGTTTTTTTGAGGAGGAGCAGGTGGTCGAATAGCAAGAGTAAGGAATAGTGGCCATTGTTTTTAGTTGTAAGTCATTAATGAGTTTTAAGAGGGCGTTTTCAGTGGAGTGTAGAGGGCGAAAGCCGGACTGTAAGGGGTTGAGAAGGTTGTTATCAGCGAGGTGGCGGCTCAGGCAGCTGTAGATGAGGCGTTCTGGGAGTTTGGAGATAAACGGGAGTAAGGAGATTGGTTGGAGATTGTTGAGGTTGGTAGGGCCCATTGAGGGATTTTTGGGTATTGGGGTGACCAGCACATGCTTTAGTAGGGGGAGGGAAAGATGCCAGTAGAGAGTGAGAGATTGAAAATGTGAGTAAGAGTGTAGGATAGAATAGGAGGGTGACCGAAGTAGTGGTGAGGGAACAGAGTACAGGGGGCAAGTGGTGAGGTGGGTGTCAGAGAGAAGCTTTGTAACCTCCTCTGTGGTGACAGGGTCAAAAGAGGAAAGTAACAAGTGTGATGGAGGGTCTGGTACATTAATAGGGGAAGGTGACTGCACAGTGGCAATCTGATCTGGAATTGTATCTATTTTGTTTTTGAAATGAATGCCAATGTCCTGGGCAGTGAGTGAGTTAGTGGGTGGTGGCGGAGGGGGACAAAGTAGAGTTAAAACTAGAAGAGTTGACAAAATCTGGCTGAGTGTGTGTTAGAGTGACTAAATAAGTCTGTTTGGCAGCACGGAGGAAGGAATTATATTTTAGGAAGGCAGCTTTATAGAGGGTGAAGTGTTGCAGAAGCCTAGTTTTCTGCCACAGTTGTTCAAGAGCGCGGCTATGTCTTTTTAGATGTGTGGTTTCTTTTGTTTGCCACGGTTGTAGTGGATGTGTTCTAAGTCTGCGTGTAATGAGGGGATCCAAACTGTCTAGGGAGGATGAGAGCAAGCTGTTGTAGACAGAAGTAGCCAGGTCAAGGGTGAGATTTTGTCATAGAGGTAGTCAGTAGCAGAGTAGAGAAGGGTCGAGGTGGCGAAGGTTTCTCCAGGTGACAGTGTGCCGTGTAGGGGGATTCAGGGTTGGGGACAGGGCAAGTGTCAAACTGACAAGGTTGTGGTCTGAGAGGGTGTACAGGACAGAATGAATGGGGCCATGTATCGTGAGATTTTGAGTGCAAACCTCCTTCCATCAGCAAGGGCATTGAAGATGAAACGTGGCTGGGTCTTTCAACATGACAATGATCCCAAACATACCGCCCGGGCAACGAAGGAGTGGCTTCGTAAGAAGCATTTCAAGGTCCTGGAGTGGCCTAGCCAGTCTCCAGATCTCAACCCCATAGAAAACCTTTGGAGGGAGTTGAAAGTCCGTGTTGCCCAGCAACAGCCCCAAAACATCACTGCTCTAGAGGAGATCTGCATGGAGGAATGGGCCAACATACCAGCAACAGTGTGTGCCAACCTTGTGAAGACGTACAGGACACGTTTGACCTCTGTCATTGCCAACAAAGGATATATAACATAGTATTGAGATGACCTTTTGATATTGACCAAATACTTATTTTCCACCATAATTTGCAAATAAATTCGTTTCAAATCAGCCGATGTGATTTGTCTGGATTTGTTTTCTCATTTAGTCTCTCATAGTTGAGGTCTACCTATGATGCCAATTACAGGCCTCTCTCATCTTTTTAAGTGGGAGAACTTGCACAATTGGTGGCTGACTAAATACTTTTTTGCCCCACTGTATCTCCTAATGAACGATAAAGACTATTGTTTAGATAGCAGTTTTTAATGTAATATTAATGCAAGGAAAGTTCAATGGCAATACAGTTAACTCTGTATAAACCTACTAGTATATTTAGAATATTACACTGAGAGGGGAAAGGTACAGAGAGACAATTCTAGTATTTATGTAGTAAAACAAACCAATACTTTAGCGAACAGCTAGTAAAAACATTATCTAAGGCAATGGCATGCAATATTTACCTTGAACTGCTGGCTCCACAACTACACCTTTCCGGCTATTTTTGTTCCATTTCCTTACCAGGAACTTTAGCCTGGAACAAAATGCAAACATTATATTTTTAAGCTCAATTAACCAGTTCTATTTAATAGTATAATACTTGTTGTACAATATTAATTTTGACACAAACTCCACCCAACATTTCATGATTTAACTGAGCATACAAACTTTGTAAACAGTACCCATCGTTGAACATTGTGCCCACTGAGAAAAGCTGCTGCTAGTTACATTTGCACTCAGCAAGATGACACTGCACCTAGAGCTCTGCAAACAAAGCTAGCAGCTTCTGTCCCTTTCCTGTGATCCCAAAGCATCAATGACCCTTTCCAGACTTACAGTTGAATGCTGCTAAGAGTAGTGCCAAGTCTTTTTTTTGTTTAGTTTAAAGGGTGCTAGGGTGTTCCAAGGAGGAAAGAGGGGGTTAGAGAGAGCTGAAAAGACTGTAAACAACAAAATTGGAGTTTAACGTATCACAGCAGTGCAATAGACTCGCATGCAGTGAACAGAACCAATTCAAGCTCGCAAATACTTTGTTACTGTACATTCATAACAAAACAATATTTTAAATCGCTGCCCTTTATATACAAATCCCCCTTCATGGTCTTAAGCCCGTGACACACTGCAAGCGAAGCCGTGCGGAGCAAAGCAAAGCTGTCAGGCACAGAGGATCGCATGCAGTATGTGCGCTGAGCGCGGCCTGATGAAAGAAAGCATCTTCAGTCAGTTTACGCTTAACAACTGAATGGAATTAGCATCCTGACGCACGGATTTATACATGCGAGCCGTTTGGCTGAAGATGAAATTTTTTCATCTCGGCACGCTCCATTATGCAAGCTGACGCACTGGAGTAAAAATGAAATGACACTGCACGCGAAAGTCCGCTTCACATGCAGTGTGTTACAGGCTTTAAACTATTAGGCGAGTTAGGAACGTGAAGCAACAGTTAACGTTACAACCAAATAAAATGCATATTAATGCTCAAAGGGACAGTGGTGCATCTGTACCTGGAGATGGCAATTACAGCCCGGACAGCTGATCGAAATCTGGTGAGGCCTGACGGTGATTTGGCAGGATACTGAAGGTCTGCAGGTGATGGATACACACCCATGCGTGCAATCAAGGACAATGTTGCTTTTTCACAAGCCTGGAATCCTCCCAAAAGGAGCAAGAGGTATTTCTTCTGGTACACTAGAGCTTTGCGGAAACTCTCTGCTCGGAGATATTTCCTATACAGACGCTGCATCTGAGAAAACAGAAAAAAGCATTTGAATTAGATTTTCAGAAACCAAGTTTAAATAGACTCTCCAGGGGAAGGTTGCAGCACTGCCCATAGCACTAACTCACACAGACAAAATAAGGTCTCTGTCCTTGACTATGATTTGTAATGTTGAGACATATTGTCTTGGTAGGGGAAGATTGTATCACAGGATAACATGCCTCTCAGTAACTGGAAAAAGTTTACATTTAATTTGTAGTGTTAAAAATGCTAGGGCAGAGCCTTACCAATCTTACAAAATGGTAACATTGATTGTCTTGTTGAGGCAATTACTTGGAAGAAGCTAAAATGTTGGTCTTCCAACCTCACCAGCTGCCTATTTGTGTAAACGATCGGCAAGACAACACCACCTCAGAACAGTGTCTGGAAGGGCAACATCATTGTTATTTCTCTCATGGCAGGATCCATTTAAACAAATCTGATAACGGTTTCACAAATGTACAGTACAGAAGAGCAGGAAATATCTACCTATATGATTATACTATGTAGTGCCAAGTCCCCAATGAATGGCAAGATAAAACCCTATCCAACATGTTAATATAAGGATGGAAAGTAGGAATCTATTACCTTGGAATTGGGAACATCAGACTGAGGCCTGTTCTCAATGGTTGCCTTGCCCAGCTCAGACTCTGCATTTTTCAGCGCAATCTGCAAAAGCCGTTTCTCACGGTTCCAGACTGCCCGTTCAGCCTCCAGCACAGAGTCTATAGAATCTGAATGCAACTGCATACAAAAGAAAAAAAATGAAAGAACTGATCAGTGCGCAAAAGTTTTAGAAAAGCTTTATAATAAGTGGTAACTCCACTTTTTTTTTTCTTTCCAACACACACACACTATGTAAACAAAAAATATTAAAGTCTTTCATTTTAGCCCTGACCATAATTAAATGGGGGAAAACAATAATTTACAAAACCACTATATATTACTTTTAAGTCCTTGTGTATTTCCATCTGAAATACCTACATACACTGGTGCTGCAAAATATATATATATATATATTTTATATAGTGTGTATGTATGCATGCATGCATGTAACCAAAAGTCACCTAGGTGTGACAGATTGTATATATTCAGGATGGCCCTGGTTTAATTCAATTGACTTTTTTTGGCGTTACCGTGGATTACAAATGACAACCTACCTATTGTAGGTTATTGATGGAGTCCCCTCCATAAATAACGGGTGTTCCCTGGACCACACGTTCTCCTCAGTAGTGTGGATTATAGACTATCGCTACCATCTGGATTTATGTTTTCGGAAGGGGCCGGGGTTAGCTAGCAGGCTGTCGGAAACGGGGATATATGTGACTGCTGGTGGGGCTTGTGTGATAACAGGCATCAGACATAGCACCTGGATTTCAAAAGAACTCTTGGGAAGAACTCTGACACCACTAAGTCTGAACCCAAGACTTCACAGAGCTCTTAAAATCATTATGGATATCGCTTCTGTTGTAAAGCCGACAGTCGGCTCTACAAGTTTAAACAGAGTCCCGGTGGCAAAAGTCACCGGGAGTCTGTTTAAACAGCCTCGATGCTGGCGACGTACACTGTACGTCGTCAGTCACGAAGGGGTTAATCTCAGGTTACACAGGCCTTCAAGCATATTTAGTTCCATTACAATAAAGCAAAAGACAACTGCCTATGCTCAAAGCATAGGCAGTTGTCAACCAAAAGTGACGTTTAGTAAGACAGATTGCCATAAAATTCTCATCACAATGTGTTCAGGCATTAGTCTGCGTGTTATTAAACAAAAGTTCACATTATCCAAAAGTACTTTGACCAAAACATACCTGTTCCTTTTTTTCTTTATATGGAGACTCTTGCAAGCTTGTGCTGAGTTTAGTGAGCTGACTTCTGAGCTCCAGCTTCTCTTTAGTCAGCTGAGACACCGTAGTTGCAAGCTCCTCGTTCTCACGTTTCAGAACATCAACCACAATGGATGGTGATGGAACAGACGTCTACAGAAAGAAAAAATTATTTTACCAACAAATCTAAATGAAGGAGCAACTAAATAGCACTAATATTACGGAGGCAAAAAGGACACACCAAAAAAAAAAAAAATCCCAACAAAAAGATAGGTAAGCAGTAAGGGGAAAAAAAAACACCAACCTGAAGATTTCCTCTCTGCAACTCTAACTTAAGTTGTGCTAGAGAGTCCAGCAAAGCTGTCACTTCTGCCTCAGTGGGGAAGCCTTGGTGTGCACTGAAAACAACACATTGTCAATTATTGTTTGATGCACTAGACCGGGTCATAAACAATTTGTACCAAAAAAAAAAAAGTTACCAGTCACTCTTCTTCGGCATCCATTTTTTCACTTTCAGTACAATATGAAGTAGTTGCTGCCAGACTCTCTGCAGCTGACTGGTTAGTGAAGCCAGATTTTTAGCAGGGCTGGCAATGTCTGTCCAGGTTTGGCTCTTTCTGGAAGCCAAAGCACGTTCTTGTTCTTCCAGATCGGCCAGCATGTGTTGCAACTCCTGAATACGTCGCTTATCTCGCTCATGTTGTAACTGTAAGTCCTAGGTGAAGAAAATGAAAAGTATTTTGGATACAGCCTTATGGTATTTAGTAAAACTAACTAGTTAAATATGAACTCCAAGAACAAAAAAACAACAACTTTCATTTCGATATACAGTAATACCTTGGTTTACGAGCACAATTCGTTCCGGAAGCATGCTTGTAATCCAAAGCGCTTGTATATCAAAGCGAATTTCCCCATAGGGAATAATGGAAATTCAGATGATACGTTCCACAACCCAAAATATAAAAATGATTACAATACTGTACTGTAATATAATACTGTACAAAATATAAAGAAAAATAAACCAATTACCGGTACCTTCGTGGCTGGTGTGAGGGGGACAAGAGAGAGGAGGATTATTGTGCAGGATGACTTTCACTATCACTAACGGAATCACTGCTATCTCTCGACTCAATGGAATCTTTTTCATTTTGTGAAACCTTAACAAGGAATCTATTCAATGTGACATCGCATTGTTGTTAAACAGACTCATCGCTCACACTGCTACAGCCTTATTCGGGTGGTGCTTTTCTACAAAATTTTGCTCTTATTGCAAGACATTGCTTGTATATCAAGGCAACATTTTTCAGAAATGTTTGCTTGTCTTGCAAAACACTCTCCAACCAAGTTACTTGTAAACCAAGGTATTACTGTATTCCTCAAAAGCTACAATGTATGTAAATCCATACTATGTGCCAAATGCATTTATAAACCCAGATAACAACTTTGTAAAGTAGCGAAGTTATTATCACTGTTCTACAGTCCTGCCCAAAAATATTCATTTTCACAATGTCTGCTGCTTCAGTTTGTATGATCGCAATTTGCATATACTCCAGACTGTTATGAAGCAAGATCAGATCAACTGCAATGTCCCTCTTTGCCATGAAAATAAACTTAATCCCCAAAAAAGACATTTGCACTGCATTTCAGCCCTGCCATCAGCTGGCATTATGTCAGTGATTCTCTCCTTAACACAGGTGTCAGTGTTGACGAGGACAAGGCTGAAGACAACTTTGTCATGCTGATTGAGTTATAACAGACTGGAAGCTTTAAAAGGTGGGTGGTGCTTGAAATCATTGTTCTTCCTCTGTTGACCATGGTTACCTTCATCATTGCTTTGCACAGAAAGACATTATGTCCCAGAGGTGTTCTATTGGATTCAGGTCAGGCGAGTGTGGGGGCCATTCAATGGTATCAATATCTTCATCCTCAAGAAACCGGCTACATACTCTCGCCACATGAGGTCGGGCATTGTCGTGCACCAGGAGGAATCCAGGACCCACTGCACAAGCGGAGGGTCTGACAATGGGTCCAAGGATTTCATCCCGATACCTAATGGCAGTCAGGGTTTCATTGTCTAGCCTATAGAGGTCTGTGCGTCCCTCCATGGGTATGCCTCCATAGACCATCACTGACCCACCACCAAACCGGTCATGCTGAACGATGTTACAGGCAGCAAAACGTTCTCCACGGCTTCTCCAGACCCTTTCACATGTGCTCAGGGTGAACCTGCTCTCATCTGTGAAAAGCACAGGGTGCCAGTGGCGGGCCTGCCAGTTCTGGTGTTTAATGGCAAATGCCAATCGACCTCCACGGTGCCGCACAGTAAGCACAGGACCCACTAGAGGACGTCGGGCCCTAAGGCCACCCTCATGAAGTCTGTTTCTGATTGTTTGGTCAGAGATATTCACACCAGTGGCCTGCTGGAGGTAATTTCATAGGTCTCTGGCAGTGCTCATCCTGTTCCGCCTTACACAAAGGAGCAGATGCTGGTCCTGCTGATGGGTTAAGGACCTTCTACGGCCCTGTCCAGCTCTCCTAGAGTAACTGCCTGTGTCCTGGAATCTTCTCCATGCTATTGAGACTCAGCAAACCTTCTGGCAATGTCACGTATTGATGTGCCATCCTGGAGGAGTTGGCAGGCCTGTGCAACCTCTATAGGGTCCAGGTATCACCTCATGGTACCAGTAGTGACACCGACTCTAGCCAATTGCAAATGCACGCAATTTTAAGGCTTGACATGTTTAGTGTCTTTTTACCCGACGTGACCCCATCTTTTATATTTTACCAAAAAATTGGGTAATAATAAATGTTTTATCATTTAATATAGGGGAAACTTTTTTTTTTTTAAATTTCGGTAATTTTTCCTTAATATAGTAAAAAAATAAAACCCCCAGTGGTGAATAAATACCACCAAAAGAAAGCTCTATCTGTCCCCAAAAAAGGGTATAAAATTCATTTCAGTACAGCGCTGCATGACGGAATAAATGTCAGTTAAAGTACCGCAGCGCTGAATACTGAAAAATGGCCTGGATGGGAAGGGGGTTTAACACCGCGGATGTCAACTGGTTAACAGTCAGAAAAGATGAGTAGGATAAAAAAATGTCAGTTGCCTCCACCTGTAAAACCATTCCTGTTTTGGAGCTTGTCTCATTGTTGCCCATCTAGTGCACCTGTTAATTTAATTAACACCTTTCATTAACACCAAAGCAGCTGAAACAGATTAACAACCCCCTCTGCTACTTAACTGACCTGATCAATATCCCAGGAGTTTCATTGACTTAATGCTATACTCTGATTAAAAAGTGTTCCTTTAATTTTTTTGAGCAGAGTATCTGGTCTTAACAGGTTTCTTAAGTCGTTTATAGCAAAACCCAAACTTATCTTTGCCTATATACATCTCATAGTAAAATCATGCAACTAGAGTGTTCACTCATCTCTTATAGTATAGGATGACACTGCTCCCTAACCAGATATAAAGATTCTTCTGTGCTTTGGCAAGTGATGGAGCAGCTTCTATGAAAGTGGCAGATGCACTACAATAGTAGCCAGCGGCAAAATCACCAATGTGACATGGGCACAGGAAGAAGAAGAAACTAAAGTTTTTTTTACTGTCTGCATGCTTTTTTCTGGGACTGACAGCATGCAATTGTTCATAACAAAAATGTGCATATTTCCCATTAGAGCAGAGAGAGAGTCAGATTGCTGGCCTACTAATTGCTGGCCTGTAAACATTGTTTGTAGGATTACTGCAAGAATCCATGTCAAAGACCACACCTAGTTTCTAGTTCTTACCATCATCTGCCGTTCCTGCTCTTCTTCTCGTGCTCTGCTAAGTTCTGTCTGTTTTGATCTGCCCATTCCTTTTTCACGTTCTTTTGCCCAAACTCTTTCCTCCTCCCGAAGGATCATTAACTGAGAATGGTACTGCTCTCGTTCATTCTGCAGCCGAGTTTCTCGCTCTTTCTGCTGCTCCAACACACTGTCCAATTGCTGTTTTTGACTTTGCAAGGCATCTAAATGTGCACGCAATTTAACTGCTGCCTCCCGCTCTCTTTGCATTTCTTCACGACAAGCTTGAATTTCAGATTCCAACTGACGCTTTGCATCAACAGCTTGTTTCTGTGTCTTCTCCATCATGGTAGCAAGGTCTCTGGCACAACGCCTTTCCTCTTCCAATTGATTTTGTAATGTTACTACTATTTTGTGTTCCTGATGTCGCTCTTCCTCCTGTCTGCAGAGCTCTTGACTTTGCAGTTGTCGAAGTTGCTCCACAACATTTCGCTCAAGGGTCAAGGCACTTGACAAGCTTAACGAGTACTGCTTTTCCTTCTCCAACTCAGTCTCCGTCTCTGACAATTTTTTGTGCTCCTGAGCAAGAAGAGCCTGACAGCGAGACTGTTCTATTTCAAGTTCTTTCCTGAGATTACTGGTGCAAGTCTGCTCTTGTAACAAAGCTGCAGAAATTTTTGCATTAAGCTTTTTCTGCTCTTCCAGGGACAAATAGAACTCCTGCAAAAATAGCAAATGAGATGATTAATTTAGAAGTGAATTACAAATAAGAGAAAATATCTGAATACTTAACTTTTATAGCTATGCAACATTGAACAGGATTTGTAAATTCTTTCATCTAACCAAGAGTATGCAGACATTTGTTAAAGTAGTTAAAAGCTTATATGGAATCTAATTAAAAGGCAAACCATCATATAATATATACTCCTGTATATAAAAGTCTTGTAAAAACGCTGCCAGTTAGATAAAAACAAACTTTATTCAATAGCAGAGCTGGGCGAAGGGCAGGCCAGCTACGTTGACTATGGAACAACAAGCATGCCATGCGTCGGAGCGGCATCCTGAAGGTTTAAATAGAAGATGAAGAGATGCAAACTGGCAATTCCAGGACGGATCTGCTTCCATTATTAGTGTAGTCAGAAACAAGATGGCAAGGGGACTCACGAGATACAGTATTTTGATAAGGGACAGATGAATGTAGTCCCAAAGTGTTACTGGTAATGTGAGCAGGTGCTTTAAAGTAGCTGTACAACTCTAAAGTGAGTTCTTTCTGTGCCGTTGGACCAGGGGGGCCCTCTTACCTGCGCTCCGGCGGGTGCGACGGAGATCGTAGGGTCCTTCTTGGGGTGAATTGGTGCCTGGCGGCGTGCTGCAGGTGTGCACATGAGCGCATGCATGACATGCGTGCGCATGTGGCACTGTCGTGGCTTCTTAGTTGCTTCGGGTGCTGGTCATTGCCGGGGAGGGGCTTGCGAGCACTCCTCCTCTCCCAGCCGTCCCATTGGTTCGCAGGGACCTGTGGCTTCCTAGTTGCCCAGACAACGGGGGCGTCGCTGGCTCCTGCTGGGTTTAAATTCCAGCCAGAGCCAAGACTTGTTGCAGAGTTATTCTGCCATTCCCAAAGCAGCTACAACGCCTCATTTCCTGTTTCCTGCCTCCCTTCCCTGCTATTCGGATCTCCTGGTTATCGACCCCTGACTTGCCTCACCGTTTATGATACTCGCTGCCTGCCCTCACCCGGACTATACTCTGACAACGCATTTTGGATTATCCTTTCTTGTACCTCAGCCTGGACTCTCCTTCTGGGATTGTTCCCTACTATTGGGTTCCAATCCAGCAAACAGGGGGACTTTGCTCCTTCCCTAACATTCTGCTCTGGTTACGATTTTCCCTCACTTTCAGTTTTGTTGACAATGATCACCAGAGCAAATGGATCGGGTGAATCCCCTAGTGGGGACAAACAGCAATTAAAAAAGACAAACAAACAGGGATTCCAACCTCTTACCACTCTATTCAAAACAGACTTGGCTTTAGATTCACCTTCATCTACAAAAAGAACGAATATTTGTTCATTCAGAATTCAACTTTCAATGCCTCACCTGCAGAGACTTCTCCTTGTATGCAAGCTTCTGTTGAATTAGATGTTTTCCTTCTTCAAACCTTTGACTTTCCACCTCCCGTTGAGTCTGCACTGTATGCATGAGAACAGATGCGGCCTCCTCTTTGCTCTCCAGCTCATTTCTACACAATTTTGAAATGGGGGAAATAAACAAAAATCTTATTATTGAAGTATTTTTTCCCCCCTAGTATTCAACCCTTCTGTAGACAGCCCACAGTACTCAGTTTTCCCACAACAATAGCAAACAAGTTCATTATGACATCTAAATGTTTACTTTCATATTTTAACCCGAAATGTATAAAATTAACAGCTAGAACTTAATTACTATGGACAAATTCTCCATTTTCATTTTATGAAGTTTAAGGAAAACCGATGTGATGAAATTAATCTCGGGGCAGGAATTGACACATGTGAACTGCAGAATAGGCATTGTGTTACAAGCAGTAAAACCATGATGAAGTGCCCACACAAATTTCTGACACACCCAATATGGGTTATTTAGTTATGATTGAAGAGGCTCACTGATATTGGTCAAAGTTTTCAGACCATCTAAAGTTCTATAGAGTTTTGGAAGAAATTGGTGACTGAAAATTTTCCTATTTCAGGGCAGTTACTATCATAGTGGTTGTGTGGCTATATTCAATAAGGTGTGGGATGCTTGGAGCAATCAAATTCTGCAGTAGACGCTGACCTTTATTATTTACTTATGTTAGGTCTTCTGTGACTGCCTTCTAAATTTTATCCTTCGTAGATGTGAGGTGGCTCTCGACTCTCCTAGGGACCACCCTTCTACATATTGCTGTGATCGTCTTAGGCTAGGTCTCTAGCACACATACCAACTGGGTGTAGGTCCCCTATTTTCTGGTAGACTGTAGGTTGTTGTGCTGTTGTATACTTTCATTGTAACTTATAAAATGCAATAAACATTTAAAAACATTTTTTATCTATCTTTTGTACTTAAGGAAAATGCAGAATGTCCAGCTTGAGAATGAATACAAAAACTACTTTGAGTAGTACCCAAAAATACTCATCACACCTTAGTTTGGATGATTCGATCTGCATTTCTTTCTGTTGCCTTCTCAGCTTTTCAAGCTCCAACTGCAGTTCCTCTAATTGAGAACGAAGTTGAGACACAGTAGATTGTTCCTGGAGTAACAGCTTGTGCTGCTCTGTGGACCTCTCTTGTTCCCGCAATAAGGAACCTTTTAAATCTTCAGCAATAGCAGCCTCTTGCTGTAATTTGTACTGGTAAAGCTCCACTGCAAAAGGGCAAAAACAGTTTATTAAGAAAGTCATATCAGCCAATCCTTTGAGCAACGGTTTACCCTTTGACTTTCCTTGGTGCAAGCACTGACCAGACCAGTTAGTTATTCTAGCACCTAAAGGTCCAGGACGTGTTATGTCTGACAGGTATTCGAAGAGTCAGGCTGAAGTGAAATGGTTATTGACAAAAATATGTATGTAGAGTGGATGCAGTCTGTGAGGGAACAGATAGATGAGCAACGTCTGAGAGTGCTTATCATCTATGTGTTCCCTCACGGACTGCATCCATTCTACATTAGTGAACCTGTGTTCCCAACTACTAGCTATCCAACAAGCTAGAAACAGATCTTTACACTTCATATAGACAGGTTAGGGTAAAGCTTAAATAAAGGTGCAACAAATTGCCAGAGTAAGTCAACTCCCTGGGAAGCTATTGGTCATATAGCCTCTTACCACTATGTACCTACCTTGCTTGCGCAGTTGGTGATCTTTTGTGTGCCCTTTTTCTTCAGAACTGGAGAGGGCATCTTGTAGTTGTTGCAGTTTCTCTTGGTTTTGAAGATGGGCCATTCTTAACTGTGCACGTAGATCTTGAATTTCAGATAACAGGCTGCTACGGTCCATGGCTAGGACGTGCTCCAAGATGAGGCGCTTTTGTTCCTCCTGAAAGCCAGAAGATTTAGGACTATTAACTAGACAAGCAGAATGCGTTTACAATGTACATAGTAAATTATAGTAAGGTGGGCCAAAAGAAAGAAAACACCATTCCTCTATAATGATAACGTACAGTAAAGTACTGACATATTACTTTGATCACAAATCCAAAAGCTAGAGTTTATGTTATGGCCAGTGGGCATAGTATTCTTGAAACACCCCTCTAGCCAACTGTACAGCCAGAACCTATGGTTTATATATACAGGGCATCAATTCAAGTAGGATTAAACTCTCAAACTTTTTTTTTAAAAATGGATCCAGATAAAGCAAATATACAATGCCCAGCAAAGTTTGTCTTTTTAGTTTTCCCTAAGCATTTACAGTCATGTTTCCAAACAGCTCCAAATCTGTCAACTCAACTTCCTGTCCAGTACAAGATCACAAGGGGCAGAGCAGTTTCCAACAGCTGTTCATCTAACCAGCTTAGAGAAGGGAGAAATGAATAACGGGGAGGAGGTGGACAGGAAGTGGTGTGCTCTGCTGTGCCTGTGTGTTTGTGGAGACGCACACAGCTTACTAAAACTAATAAGGGTGTGTCCATAGGACCCTGCAAGGAAAGGAGCCAACTTAAAACAGGATATCAGGGCCTGTGCTCAGGGAGCCAGCTAATTCTACAGGAAACTAAAACTTAAGATCAAGGAGCAGCATCTATTGTAAGCAATTTAAATCAGCATTTGAAATATTAAATGCAAAAGGTTTTTAATCTATCACTTTAAAGAGGAATTTTACCTAAATCTTCAAAACAGACATCTTTAGAAATGTTTAGTAATGACAATCTACAAACACATACTTCTAGATATTTGCCGGCTTTGTATTCTTTGCATACCTTTTTTTTTCCATCACCAGTCTTCTGACAGTGGCCATTTTTACTAAGGGCAGATTAATCCATCTTCCTTTACTTCCTGGAACTCTGGCACATGTGACCATGCACATCATCTCAGGGGAGGAAAATGCTTTTCCCTGAGATCTTGTGAGATTATAGATGATTTCCCAGCAATGCACTGCTGATATAACCTTCCCAGGATGCAATGGTTGGGCATGATGACATCATTTGTGCCAAAGTGGACCAGGAAGTGGATAAAAACATGTTTGTTTACCTAATGAATGATTTTAGATCAGCATTTCTATCAGCATGCACAGCTGCATGCTGATAACTTTAGTGAAAGGGGGTAAAGGTCCACTTTAAATGGCTCTGGGTACCCAGTTGGCCACAAGGACTTTAAAAACTCAGAGCAAAACAGCTGACCATGATTTAAGAATAAGCCGCCTCTTTCATTTTACAAATGGAGAAGTGATGACAATGCTTTACTTCAAGATTTCTGCATAGCACCTACTGCATTGTATATGCATCAACTAAAATGATGTCAATCAATCAGCCAGATATCTGGGGGAAAACTTTACAATAAATGAATTGTTCTGTCCATGGATTCTGACTCACCTGCTCCTTGATTAGGTGTTCTACCTTTTCTGACAGTGAACTGCGCTCTCCAGTGCCATGGTGAAGCTGTGACTGAAGTTCCAAGCGTAAATACGCTCTTTCACTTTCCAAAAGAGCCTGAACACTTTGCAATAAGTCCCTTCTCCAGTCTGAGGTAGAACTCTCCTAAAATATTTAAAGAACTCAAAGTTATGCTCCAAATTTAAAAATGAATGAACTGAAAAATACCAAGGTCTGTGGTATACGTACTTCCAAGACTTAGACACGCATTTTCTTAAAAACACACATTATTATTTACTGGGATAACTGATTGAAATGTTTAGGATTGTATCTAAATTAATCTACACTTGAAGAAATGCATAGGCGACTACAGTGATGTAGTAAAAGATGCCAAAAAATTAGGTGGGTGGTACAGGTGCACAAAATTGGTCTGCACTCCTGCTTATTGCTGAGGATCCTGAAGTAAGGGGTCCTTCTTATTGCTGAGGATCCTGGATCCTGCTTATTGCGGAGGATCCTGATGTAACGTTTTACTGTGCCCGATATCACTCCACGTACACTGAAGAGAAGTTTCTCTTTTCACGAGAGGAAAAAAACAGCACTCACGAAATTCATAGATTTTTGAACCATGCTGGAAAAAAATAAATCAGTGTGTGAAGAGACCTACTGAACGTTGAATGTACTCCTAATCACTGCAAATATTGGGCTGAGTGTGGTTGTCCTTTAACCCTTTCATTACCATTAACCTAAGTGTTACGGTGCAATAGAACTGCTTGCTGCCCTGAGTGATGCATGTTCACAGATCGTCTAGGTGTGAACAGGGACTAATGATTAGTAGTCAGGATATTCTACCTGGCTTCCTTTTCCTGCAGCCTGTGCCAACGCAGCGCTTAGAGACTGGATGGTTTCTTGCAGATTCTCTCGTTCTTTCAACCAGGCATCTCTCTGAATCTGAAGCGCAGTACTCTCTAGACTGGGAACCTTTGAGACAGGCCGTTCAGACAGTTCCAGAATCTGGCAGCTTTCCTCATGAACCATATTCAACATTTTCTTAAAGAAAAAAAAAAAAAATATAAATACAAAAGGGAAAATTTCTAT